AGGGTCAGCCATGGTCATTCATGGTCAACAAGCGGCTCATCAGCACGGCCTACGGCCAGATCGGTCAGTGGTCACTCATGGTCACTCTGGGGTCACTCAGGGTCAGCCGTGGTCACTCTGGGGTCACTCAGAGGTCACTCATCAGCGTGGCCCATGGTCAGATTGGTACAGGTGGTCCTGTTGGGTTCCATTGGGTCCATTGGGTCCCGTTGAGTTTCATCGGGTCCTGTTGGGTTCCATTGACTCCCATGGGTCCCGTTGACTCCCATTGGGTCCCGCTGGGTCCCGTTGTCTCCTGTTGACTCCCATTGGTTCCCACTCGGTCCCATTGGGTTCCGTTGGGTCCTGTTGACTCCCATTGGGTCCAGTTGACTCCTGTTGGGTCCTGTTAACTTCCATTGGGTCCTTTTGGGTTCTGTTGAGACCCATTGGGTCCCGTTGACTCCCATTGACTTCCATTGGGTCTTGTTGGGTACCGTTGACTCCCTTTGGGTCCCATTGGGTCCCACTGGGTCCCGTTGACTTCCATTGGGTTCCGTTGACTCCCATTGGGTCCCACTGGGTCCCATTGACTCCCATTGGGTCCTGTTGACTCCCATTGGGTCCCACTGGATCCCATTGACTCCCATTGGGTTCTGTTGGGTTCTGTTGAATCCCGTTGACTCCCATTGGGTTCCGTTGACTCCCATTGGGTCCTGTTGACTTCCATTGGGTTCCGTTGACTCCCATTGGGTCCTGTTGGGTTCCGTTGACTCCCATTGGGTCCCGTTGGGTCCCATTGACTCCCATTGGGTCCCGTTGACTCCCATTGGGTCCCGTTGACTCCCATTGGGTCCCGGGACCCCCCTGAGCCCCCGTTCCGGCCGCAGGGATGATCCAGGCGCTGGGCGGGTTCTTTGCCTACTTCGTGATCCTGGCGGAGAACGGGTTCCTGCCCTCGTGCCTGGTGGGGATCCGGCTGCGCTGGGACGACCGCACCATCAACGACCTGGAGGACTCCTACGGGCAGCAGTGGGTGCGTCCCCAAAAACGGGAGTCCCCAAAAATGGGGGTCCCCAAAAAACGGGGGATCCCTGAAAATGGGGGTCTCTGGAAACCAGGATACCAAAAAACGGGGGTCCTAAAAAATGGGAATCCTGAAAAATGGGGATCTCTGAAAAACAAAAAGGGGGGTTGTTCCCAAAAAGAAGGATCTCCAAAAAATGGGGATCCCCAAAAATGGGGGGTCCCCAAAAAATGGGAATCCCTGAAAATGGGGGTCCCCAAAAAATGGGGATCCCCAAAAATGGGAACCTTGAAAAATGATGATCTCTGAAAATGGGGATTCTTAAAAACAAAAATGGGGATTCTTTCCAAAATTGGGGATTCCGAAAAACGGGAATCCCCAAAAATGGGAATCCCCAAAAATCGGAGTCTCTGAAAACAGGGGGTCCCCAAAACCAGAGCAATTTGTGCACTCCAAATTCCATTTCTGGGGATTTCCTCCCCGTCCGGGGGTCGCACTGTGCCGAGGAATTCCCTGAATTTTTGGGAGGTTTTGATCATTTTTTTGGGGGGTGTTTTGAGCAATTTTGATCATTTTTGGGGGGGTTTTGATCATTTTTTGGGGGGCGTTTTGAGCAATTTTGATCTTTTTTGGGGGGTTTGGACCATTTTTTAGGTGGAGTTTTGAGTAATTTTGATCATTTTTGGGGGGTTTTGATCATTTTTTAGGTGGGGTTTTGAGCAATTTGATCATTTTTGGGGGGGTTTGGACCATTTTTTGGGGGGCGTTTTGAGCGATTTTCATGGGATTCTGATCATTTTTTGGGGGGCGTTTTGAGCGATTTTCATGGGATTCTGATCATTTTTTGGGGGGGCATTTTGAGCGATTTTGGTCATTTCTTGGGGGGTTTCCGATCATTTTTGGGGCGTTTTTCCATCATTTTTTGGCGGTTTTTCGTGCTTTTTTCGCGGGGTTTTTTTTGGGGGGGGGTTGGATAATTTGGGGAGGGGTCTCTGACGGAGCGCCCCCCCCTCCCCAGACGTACGAGCAGCGCAAGGTGGTGGAGTTCACGTGCCACACGGCGTTCTTCGTCAGCATCGTGGTGGTGCAGTGGGCCGACCTCATCATCTGCAAGACGCGGCGCAACTCCGTCTTCCAGCAGGGCATG